AAAAGACTTACAGGTTTATATTTCAGTGCATTTACCACTACAAGTCTGCTATTCTAATAATAATTTTTTTTGTTTTGTTTTGTTTTTTTTTGAGACAAGAGTTTTGCTCTTGTTGCCCATGCTGGAGTGCAATGACGCTATCTTGGCTCACCAAAACCTCTGCCTTCCAGGTTCAAGCAGTCCTCCTGCCTCAGCCTCCCAAGTAGCTGGGATTACAGGCATGCACCACTATGCCCGGCTAATTTTGTGTTTTTAGTAGAGACGGGGTTTCTCCATGTTGGTCAGGCTGGTCTCAAACTCCTGACCTCAAGTGAACCACCCGCCTTGGTCTCCCAAAGTGCTGGGAGCTACCACGCCTGGCCAATTTTTCTTTTTAAGAGTTAAATTTACCTTGTATATTTAGCTGTCGTAAAAGTTGTTTTTCTATTAAAAATGTAAAATTTTAAAAACAATGTCTCTAAAGTGTTGCTCTTGACAATATGCATACCAATAGTCCCCTCTATGTTATATGTGTATTTTTATCTATGTCTATTTAATCGAAAAATATCAGAAACCAGAAACTTCATTTTTCATTACTCAAGCATGAACCTATTGAATAAAAATTTGAGCCCATCCTGGTCAACATAGTGAGACCGCATCTCTGTGAAAAATAAAACATTGGGGCCAGATAGGGTGGCTGACACCTGTAATCCCAACACTTTGGAAGGCCGAGACAGGCAGAACACGTGAGGTTGGGAGTTCGAGACCAGCCTGACTAATGTGGAGAAACCCCATCTCTACTAAAAATACAAAATTAGCTGGGCGTGGTGGTGCGTGCCTGTAATCCCAGCTACTCGGGAGGCTGAGACAGGAGAATCCCATGAACCCAGGAGGCAGAGGTTGCGGTGAACCAGGATTGCACCATTGCACTCCAACCTGGGCAACAAACAAAACTCCTGTTTCAAAAAATATATAGCTGGGTTTGATGGCACATGTCTCTAGTCCCAACTACACAGGAGGCTGAGGCAGGAGGACCCCCTGAGCCCAGGAGTTCAAGGCTGCAGTGAGCTCTGATCCCACCACTGCACTCCTAGCCTGGGGGACCAAGTGAGACCCTGTCTCAAAAACAAAAAAACCTTACTAAAGTTTACTTAACTAACTGAACACTCCAAGTGCCTTCAAAATTTTTTCTAGGTTGGGGCGTGGTAGCTCACATTTATAATCCCAGCACTTTGGGAGGCTGAGGTGGGTGGATCATCTGCGATCAGGAGTTTGAGACCAGCTTGGCTAACATGGCAAAACCCTATCTCTACTAAAAATACCAAAATTATCCAGGCAGGAGAATTGCTTGAACCCAGGAGGCAGAGGTTGCAGTGAACCGAGATGGTGCCATTGCATTGCAGCCTGGAGACAGAGCAAGATTCTGTCCCAAAAAGAAATTTTATTTCTAGTATTGAGGTGTACATTTTTAATTAGGATGTGCAAAAACACATGTAATCTGGAAGTTGTAGAAAGGACACACATTTGAAACCCATTTTTCTACTGATTAACAGTTGTTTATAATATTCTATGCCAGATATCTGACCATCAGAAAGCATTAGTTATGACCATTAGTTGTTTAAATACACTTTCTGATTTCATGCCCTACTAAACAAGAAAATAGCTTAGGTTGTACTGCAGTTTGCAATTTGATAAGTTTTTTGTGATTCTCAGATAACAACACTTTCAACTTAAGTAGATAAATACAGGGATTAGATGATCTGTTTTGAACAGTGTTAACCTTTAATCAGTGAAAGTACCATTGCTTTCTAGCAGTTGGTATTTGAGAATTAATTTGAGATTAGCCAAAGGCTATATAAAATCTTAAAACAGCCAAACACATAGACAAGAGGCCATCCTATTTTGAAGAGCCCTGACATACTGTTTATATACCATATTCTACATTTAAAGCACAAATTCAGTTATAATCACTAGTGCATCGAAGTATGGGTACTGAATGTTTAATCTTCAGAGATTTGGGTGGTATATTCATTGTAATTACATTTGACATACTTAGTTTGTGTATTAACTACTTGATACCAGTGTTAATTGTCATGGATGGCCTGGGCGTGATGGCTCACGTCTTTAATCCCAGCACTTTAGGAGGCCGAGATGGGCGGATCACGAGGTCAGTAGATTGAGACCATCCTGGCTACCACAGCAAAACCCCATCTCTACTAAAAATACAAAAAATTAGCTGGGTGTAGTGGCACGTGCCTGTAATCCCAGATACTCAGGAGGCTGAGGCAGGAGAATCACCTGAACCTGGGAGGCAGATTTTGAGATCGCACCACTGCACTCCAGCCTCTTGAGTGACAGAGGGAGACTCCATCTGGGAAAAAAAAAAAAAAAAAAAAGTCATGGATGTTAAAAGAAAAAGGGAGAACGTTCTTAACTGGCATTTTTGTTGTTCACTCTGTCTTATGGTGCTGAGTATATTTCTTTCTTTTTTTCTTTCTTTTTTTGAGATGGAGTCTCCCTCTGTAGCCCAGGTTGGAGTGCAGTGGTACGAGCTTGGCTCACTGCAACCTTTGCCTCCCAGGTCCCGGTTCAAGCAATTTTCCTACCTCAGCCTCCCACGTAGTTGGGATTACAGGCATGAGCCACCATGCCCAGCTAATTTTTGTATTTTTTAGTAGAGACGGGGTTTCACCATGTTGGCCAGTCTGGTCTTGAACGCCTGACCATGTGATCCACCCGCCTCGGCCTCCCAAAATGCTGGGATTACAGACGTGAGCCACCGCACCTGGCCGCTGCTAAGTATATTTCTATAAAATGAAATATTTCTTTTTCTGATTCTACTGAATTTAGATTTGTGCTCTAAAACATACTCTAAAATATGCATTTTTTAGAGTATGTTTTTTTTTTCATGGTCTGGAATTATAGAATTTTGGACTTGAAAGGAATCTTAGGTCTTCCAATTCATTTAATTCCTTGACTAATGAAATGGAGATAGAAAAAATTTAAGTTCTCTGCCCAAGGATACATATCTCTAGTAGCAGATGAGTTCTAGAATTCAGCTTTGTTTGTTGGTTTGTTTTTTGAGATAGGGTCTCCTTCTGTCACCCAGGCTGGAATGTAGTAGCTTGATCATGACACTGTAGCCTCGACCTCCCAG